AACAACAACAACCATTTTAATATTTCAAACCACTGGAGCTTTTCCCAGCATACCTACACTGCGGTCTTTAGATGACTCTATGTCTCATTTAATTTATCTGGAAGTAAAGAAATCCTGGTGAGGCGCAGTGGGTTAATGCGCTTGACTGTTGGTTTGAATGCAATGTCAGCAGTTCAAGCTCACCAGCTGCTCCTCAGAAACCCTGTACAGGGTCACTGTGGTTCAGAAATGATTCGAAAGCACTTAACAACAAAGAGGACTTGAAGCCCTTTTGATGAAGATCAGAGACCATGGATTTTACCTTAACCAAAGGGAAAAAAAAAATCCTCACAACTAGACTGCTAAGCAACATCATGATAAATGGAGAAAAGATTGACGTTGCCAAGGATTTAGTTTTATTTGGATCTACAATCAACATGGAAGCAGCAGTTAAGAAAGCCAATGATATATTGTGCAGGGCAGATCTGCTGCAAAGGACCTCTTTAAAATATTGAAAAGTAAAGATGCCACCCAAAGACTACGATGTATCTGACCAAGTCCTGGTATTTTCAATTGCCTCATGCATGCAAAAGCTGGACCGTGAACATGGAAGACTGGAAAATAAATGATAGATTTTAATTAATGACGATCGTGAAGAATATTGAAATTACCGTGAACTGCCAGAAGAACATACAAATCTGTCTAGGAAGAAATACAGAGGAAAAAAAGAGTAATCTGATACAATCTGATGAACTTGACCTACAACTATGGATGCAATAGCTCAAAAGAGGGAACAAATCCTAACTGCAAGAATCATTCCCACCCCCTCCATACACAGAGTAGACAGGGATGGGCAACTTGGAAATGGTTATTCAAAGTGGAGGGTGGGGGTGGGGGTTACAAAGGAAGAAGTGACTGGTTTACAAGCTGTCAAGAGGGAACCTAGATCCAGAGGGCGTGGAGGTAGGTAGAATCTCCACTGAGTAGTATCCAATCTGTCTAGGCGGGGCTGACGAAAGGAAATGCTGATAGGTCTCTTGTGATACAATAATGAATAATTATTAGGACTGATTGTGAGGGTTGGAAATGTAAAAATAGAAATTTTGTAGCAGGGAGGGAAGTGATTAACTTTTCAGTCTAGGAGCGGAGGTCCCTGGGACCATCAAGGGAGAAGAGTGGAGAGCAGGACCTCACCCAGAGAAACAGTGACACCAGAGATGATGACATGGAGAGATGGAGCAACTGGGGACTTCAGACCCAGAGAGGGAGAGGGGCTGTGTGCTGATGACCAGGGGGCAGGCTTGCAGGGTATACCCTTTGGTTGGTTGATGATGCATGGAGAGGATTGTAACCATGGAAATGAAATGATACACGATAGGATGAATGTAACACTAATGTTCTCCCATGTAAACTATTCACATAATTCATAATAAAACATTAAAAAAAAAAGAAAAGAAAGACAGCCAGAGTGCTCCTTAGAAGTTAAGATGGCAAGACAGAATTTCATATACTTTGGACATTGTTACCAGAAGACACCAGTTCCTGGAAAAGGACATTTGTTGTTAAGTGCCATCCAGTTGACTCTTAACCCCCTGTAGAGCATCCAACGAATGTCTGGTATGTTTCAACCCCCAACCTTATAGTTCATAATCCCATGTTCATCCTATAGAGTCACACCAGGGAAAGGTCTTAGTGCTTGGTAAAGTAGAGGGTCAGAGAAAAGGAAGACCTTTAATGAGATGGAGCAACACAAAGTCTGCAACAGTGGCCTTAAACATAGTGACAGTTTTGACTATGGTCTGGAATTGGACTGTATTTCATTTTGTTATATGTAGAAACTGTATGTCGTTATATGTTAGAACCCACTCAATGGCATCTAACAACAATAACACATCATAGTTCCGTATGAGTCACACTGTGTGCTAAGCAATCAAATGTTTTTTTGGTTGATGACAATTTTCTCATTGCATAATTGTTGTGATTTCCCCCACAAAATAGATTAAAGATGACCTAAAGCCACATATATTTTGGACATGACTATGTCCAAGTCATTTTCTGTTGATAGGAATATGATGGAAATGTCATAATCATCATCAAACCTTTACCATGGAGAACTTTAGCTGCAAGAATTCTGAAGTTTGTGCTGTGGTGTACATCAATTATCAGGATGTATTATACTCTCCCTGGGTGTTGTGGATCTCACTGTTTCTGTGAGGTCTAGGTCCCATCCCTGACTCACGATCATCTCCAGCAATGGCTGATATACCTACATACTAAATAAAAAAGCAAAAAGTTGTTTCCAGGGAGTCAACCCTAACTCATGGTGAACCCATGTGCTATGTATGGTTTTCAGAAGTAGGTCACCAGGCCGTTCTAATTGAGGTGCCCCTGAGTAGACTTGAACCTACAACCTTTTGGTTATCAGTTGAGTTTGTTATCCATTTGTACCACTCAGAGATATCTATCTATTAGATACGCTGATATATGACTCTCTATGCATGTGAGAGATCAAATTAAAGTGTGTGTGTAACAAAATTATATCAAATACATGTATATATGTATGTATGTATGTATGTGTGTGTGT